CTTTACTCATCCCTGGTGGAAGAACAGCACACGAGGTTTGCAATTCCTTTTAAGGTTCATGAAGAATCTACTTGCAACATTGCATGTGAGTCCCCTTTGGCGGAGTTGATAATGAAAGCAAAACTCATCATTTGGGATGAAGCTCCGATGATTCACAAGCATTGTTTTGAGGCCGTACATCAATCTTTGAAGGATATCCTAAGCCAGTCTGATCCTGAAAATGAGAATAAACCCTTTGGTGGCAAAATAATTGTTTTTGGAGGTGATTTCAGACAAATTTTGCCTGTTGTGCCAAAGGGAACAAGACAACAAGTTGTGTCGGCGAGCATAAATTCCTCACATTTGTGACGGCATTGTGAAGTGTTAACATTAACAAAAAATATGAGACTTTCTTCAACAAGTTCTAATTGTGAGGAATTGAAGAATTTCTCAAATTGGGTGTTAAGTATAGGCGATGGTACTAACCGTGACGACAATGATGGAGTTATGGACATTGAAATACCTGATGATTTGCTCATAAAACCATTAGGTAACCATTTAGCTTCTATTGCTGAAGAAACTTACCCAAATTTGCTCGCTAATATAATGGATTATGAATACTTACAACAACGAGCTATATTGGCACCTACAAATGAAATTGTTGATAAGGTTAACGATTACATGTTGTCTTTGGTTCCGGAAGATGAAAAAGTCTATCTTAGTTTCGATAGTCCATGTACGGCAAATGAGAGGATCGACTCACATCATGACATTCATACTCCAGATTTTTTTAATACTATTACATCTTCAGGTCTGCCAAACCATGAATTAAAGTTGAAGAAAGGTGTTCATGTTATGTTGTTGAGGAATATAGACCAGTCCAATGGGTTGTGTAATGGTACAAGATTGACCATTACTCGGTTGGGAAATCGCGTTTTGGAAGCAAAAATAATATCAGGCTCTAATGTCGGACAAAAGGTCTTCATTCCAAGATTGTCGTTAACACCGTCAGACAGTAAAATTCCTTTTCACTTTCAGAGGAGCCAATTTTCCATCGTTCTTTCCTTCGCTATGACAATAAATAAAGCCAAGGTCAATCTCTCCAAAATGTTGGTCTATATCTTGAAAAGCCTATTTTCTCCCACGGACAACTTTACGTAGCTATTTCGAAGATTACGAGTCGAAAAGGTTTGAAGATACTTATAGTTGACAAAGAAGGAAATACTTCAAAAAATACAACAAATGTTGTTTATAAAGAATTATTTCAAAATTTAAGGTAATTTTGTTTTACAGTTTTTCACATTTCTTCTTACGTAAACCTTATATTCAACTATGTATAATGCATTCTTATTGTTTTGCAGAGTGTGAACATGCAATATCATTAAAATGAATGTATTGACTCTCAATTCGAATTGTCACACAATATCAAAGGTAATTGTTTTTTTTTTCTTCGTATTTTTATGTTCAATATCTTCTTTTTTAATTATTTGTACTCATATATGTTGCTATGGAAATTGTTAACCTGCAATTAATGTCTTCGGTACCAGTGAAGTGCATACATTTTCTGAACGGTTAATTTGTTTTTATTTTTTTTATTCAGAGATTTTTAAGTGTAAAAAAAAGCAAATGTGCATTCTATTTATGACAATCTGTAGTTTATTACTCTGATTTAATAACTGTGCTATAGTGGTATGGTGGTATAGTGGTATGATTAAATTGAAATATGTAACCCCGTGCAACGCACGGGTTCGGTTACTAGTAAAAAATAAATAAAGGACTTTTACTAATTGGCCACACCTACCCATCTCCCACCGCCGCCGCCGCCGCCGCCCGCCACCACCGGAATGCAACCCAACGACCTCGCCAACACGCTCGTCAGGTGAGACCTCCCCCTCAAACTCGACCGCACCACCCCCCACCGACTCCTCGCGCCGCCACTCGCGGCGGCGGCGACCTTCTCCACCGAGGCGGCCCGCCGCTGCTTGATGGCGCTCAGATCCATCTCGGGCCTGAACTTCACCGGCCCGAACATGAACATCCTCCTCCTCGATTTCGCGGACATCGATGTCAGGGAAGTGATGTTCACTCTCTGCGCGTGGTAATCCAGGTTCCCGGAGGAGGAGGAGGAGCACCTGGATCGGGTCGGATCGCCGGAAATTCTGGTGGAGGACGAGATCCGCCGATCGGAAAATGCGGATCCGCGATTCGATTGAGATTGAGATTTGGATCTGATGGTGGCGAAATAGTCTCTCTTCTGATACTCATTCAGCTGATCTTCATCTTCTTCTTCATTGATAGTTCTTCCGCAGAAAATGACGTCACTTCCGGCGGCGTGGGGCCCGGGCTGAGAGATCAAAAACTCGAAGAGATGATCGGAGGAATTTCTCCGGCTGTGTTGAGTGGAGCCGCCGGAGTTGGTTTCTTCGTCCAATCGGAGATAATTGCAGAAAGAGAGTCTGTCAAATTCTTCTTCTTCTTCATGGATTAATGATTCTGAAACACAATTTTCTACTCTTACTTCTTTCATGCTGATTTATAATAAGATTGAATTATGTGAATTAATAAGATTGAATCAAGAGTTTATATACACTATGAGTCTATGAGAATATGCTTCTAGAAGAGAGGGGCAAAAATGACAAATGACAATAAGATCCAATTTTATTTTATTTTAATTTAAATATTTTGTTACATATTATCTTTACTTCAGAATTCTATTACTGCATGCTATATATCTATTTTTTCGTGTTTTAATCTTATTAATTCATCACTGAGTATTTACTATTTCTATCAACGATCAAGGTTATTTTAATCATTTTAATGTTTTTTACTAAAATCAAGACATATTTATTGAAATTCTTAATATTAGTGCAAAGCTGCAAAGCTGAAAAACGACAATTAATTAGGAATAGAGGGAGTAACTCATACACTATTTATTTTCTTTTCATTTTTACCTTGAGTACGATTTTTTATCGATTCGACTCAACTTATTTACACCCCTGATTTCGATTTTGCCAGTTGCGTTAGTTTTATTAGCCCTATAAAAATAGCTGCTTCTTTTTTCTAATTTTGTGATTGGTTTAATTTATAGCATTTGTAAAGTTATTAAACATGAATTAACACTAGTGATTCACTTTTTTTTTTTTTTTTCTTAAATGTGTTTATTATATGATTTAATGATGAAAACAATTTAATCATAATCAATTAATGGTACGAGGAACTAATTTATTGTAGTTGTGAAGACTTACTAGAAAGAAGAATAAGAAGAAAAAAATAATAGGTCAAATCAAAGGAGTGGAGAAAAAGATAGTTGAATTTTAGTGCCAAGTTATAGGAGAGGAAAGAGCCTTGAGATACTGAAATTCAATCATCTAGAAGGTCTTGTGTCTTTTGTTTCTGGAGAAGTTGAATTGTTATTATTATTATTATTATTATTATTATTATTATTATTATTATTATTATTATTATTATTATTATTATTATTGCATTCGATTAAAGTCAAATTATCTTCCAAAAGACTGGTGAAAAAACCCAATAAATATAATTAGTTTGAAAGATTAAATTAAAAAAATAAAAAAGAAAAGGCCCAACGACTGGTGAAAAAGCCCAATAAACATAATTAGTTTGAAAGATTCAATTAAAAAATTAAAAAAGAAAAGGAAAAGGGGCATTCCGAGAATTGAACTCGGGACCTCTCGCACCCTAAGCGAGAATCATACCACTAGACCAAATGCCCTTTCATGTTTACATTTTCAGTTTTTTTTTATTTAATAGGTATTCCTTTGTTTCCGTTTTCTCTTGATATTTCTGAGAATTGAGTCTTATTTGACATAGAAATGATAACGTGAATAATTAGACTGAGGGTGTTTGGTGAGCAGCTCACAGAACCATCTCTGAGCTAGGATATGAGCTTATAAGCTGATTGATGCGGTTGGGTTTTACTGCTTCAACAAATTCCAAATCTTCTAGTCCATTCCGTATTGGCTGGAGGAGTTTCGTGGATCTGTAAAATGACTGGGAGATGTGCTCTCGGCGTTAGCGCTCCAATGTCTAAGTCAAGACCGATAACACCTCAAATATTCAAAGAGAAATATATCCAAAAGAAAATAGTATGTCAAGATTAAGATTTCTTACCTTAAGGGTTATGAACCATGTATTATAGAAGATGCGCTACTGTTTTCATCCAATTCGGTTAATAGATTTATTTCAAATATATGATACTTTTACGGGTATCTACAACTCGGGGGACGTCTACAGCTCGATGGAGGTCTCCATTTAACAATAATTTATATTCTCTGTGCCTTACACTTGTGGGCTTACCATATTTCAATATTTTGGGCCGTTAATGAAGTGGGCAAATGAGCCCAAATCCTATGTGATTTTATCTCCTTCTTTTGGTATGGGCCAACTCTTTTGAACCTTGCCTTGTTGGATCTTGTAAATTTGGCAGGATCACTGATATCGAATTTGTATGATTATTTAATCAAATCTAAGGAGTTTCCAACTATATTTAATATTTTAGCAAGTACATTTGCTTTTAATCGTTACCAACTATTAAAATAAAGGGAAAACTATAGTTTTCACACCTTAAATTTTCACTGAATTCACATTTGGTCTTCCATATTCACAAAAGAACACATTTTGTCCATAATATTTCAATAATTGAACATTTTGGTTGTTTGCGTCAATTTACTGTTAGCCCGTCAATTAGGACAGTAATGGGCACATTGCACACACTTGATTCCATTAGTACTAACGGTGGGAGACCAAATGTGAAATTTGATACAAAATTGGGACTGAAATGAAATCGATGCAAACTTGAGGAGCTGAAACTGCAAAAAAAAAAGAAAAAATAAATAAATAAAAAAGTGAGGGGGCATTCCGAGAATTGAACTCGGGACCTCTCGCACCCTAAGCGAGAATCATACCACTAGACCAAATGCCCTTTCATGTTTACTTTTTCAGTTTGTGCATACTAGAAGGCATACTATAGCTGAAGCAAAACCCTTTCGTTCGTCGGGGTTTACTCATACATTTTCTCCTGAAAATTGGAAACAAAAACCCAGCAGCGAAAATGGCGAGAGCTGCACTACTTCAGTTGCTCCGATCTCAATCCAGAACATTCCGTTCAGGTTCCTTTTTCTGAATCCGATCTCCTTTCATTCATTTCTCCGTTGTGCTTTTATGCTTTCTTCGTTTTTTTAATTCTTATTTTATTGTCCAATTATACTGAAAATATTTGACAGGGAATTGATAATAATAGGGCTCAAATAATTCCAGTTAGATTGAGGTTTGTTTGGGTGAAGCATCTCAAATAAGCTTACAGAATGGTAGATTTGGATTTTGTAGGATTATTGAATCATAATTAAGTTGATTTTTAGCAATTACATTTGCTTTTAATGATTAATCAATCATTATCAAATATTAACTAAGATTAATAGTATGTTATAAGTAATTTTTTTGAGAAATGAGATTATCAGATCTCAGAATAAGAGAACAACATTTTAATGGATACATTACTTATGGTGTTGAAGAGATGCCGATGCTATTTAATCGAGAGATTAGTGTATTAGTAGAGAGAGAGTAGTTCTAATTATATTACATGTAATTTATTCGACACGTTTTACTACGGAAAGTATTGCATCTGTAATTTCTACGATGCCCTTCAATTTACTTGGAGTTGTTTGCCTAACTCAAGGGTAGCTTCTCAATAAGGGAGTCGTATGTTGCATTAGAATTGACCCTTCGATTGCTAGAACTCGAGTATGACAAATATCGAGCGTAAAATACGACGGTCTTGCAAAGTGTAGGCACATACATATATTCCTTCAATTTAAATCTCGTTGTGCTTTATTTCGAATTTCTCGAATATTGTCATGTTTAATGTACAATCCTCGTCTGACTGATCTGAAGCTACTCTCCTAAATGCTCGTAAAAGATTGTCAAGTAAATAGCAAGCTTTCTTAGCTCGAATGCAACGTATGTATCTCTGTCTTGTTCGCCTGTAAAAGTAAAGGATCAAAGCTAAAATTATCCATATTCATTAAGCATGAAAACCTTATCTTAATCATTAGGGTAAATTACGGCCATTTCCCTGAGGTAAGGTCAAATTACGAAAAAACCTTTCATGTTTGGGTAATTACAACCACCTCTCAACTATGACTCTTTTTACATGTTCACCCTTGTTGTGTCAAATTTAGTGGAATCTTCTAGATTTTGTGGAATATTCTCCATTTTGTACCTGTTTTACCCCATTCTATCTAGCTCCACATTTTGAAACAAGATGATCATAAGATGTGTCTCTTGGCTCGTAAATTTTAGATTGTGGTGCATCAGAAACTGATTTTTTGCACAAAACGAGAACAAATTAGAGAACATTCCTAGGAATCTAGAAGATTTTGTTGAATTTGACACCGTAAGGGTGGACGTGTAAGAAAGTTCATAGTTGAAGGGTGGTTGTAATTGCCCAAACATGAAGGGTTTTTTCGTAATTTGACCTTACCTCATGGGTAGCCGTAATTTACCCTAATCATTATATTATGATAGAGGGTTTTGATTTCGAGTTCAGCCTAAGCAAACCACTTTTTCTTTTTTCAAGTATTCTAATCTCCACTGAATGAATCTACGTCTGGTTCACCTTCACCTGTAATGCATCTCATATCTGAATTCTAACGGTCCCGTTTTCTTTGTGTCTTCTTCTTTTCGTTTCGTTAAACATCGATATTCGATTATTTCCTGCACTCGTTTACCATTTTCATAAACATATTCGACTGCATCAGGTAATCGCCTCGCTAAGGTTGCTCCACAGTCCCACGCATCCATTGCTAAACTCAACACCAACTCCACCGCACAATACACTCTCACACAGAGACACTGGTCATCTCAATCGGCACAAGACGACAGCAAGATTAGCATCGGGCCCCACAAAGGAAGAGATAACGAAGGCAAAGAAGAAAAACCCTACACGGGGTTTACCTATCACGGGCCTATATCAAGCACAATCAAGAAAGTGAAGCTCCTCTCTCTCTCCACATGCTGCCTCTCCGTTTCGCTGGGGCCCGTCATCACTTTCATGACATCGCCCGACATGAACGTGATACTAAAGGGTGCGGTGGCATCTTCCGTAATATTCCTCAGTGCTTCGACCACTGCGGCACTTCATTGGTTCGTGAGCCCTTACATCCACGGGCTGAAATGGCAGCCTGGCTCAGACAGCTTTGAGGTCGAAATGATGTCTTGGTTGGGTACGTTTTTGCCGAAGACTATCAAGTTTGCGGATGTTAGGTACGCGGAGACGAATAGGCCTTATGTTTCGTTTATGGCTAACGGTAACTTTTATTTCGTGGATGCTGAGCATTGTCATAATAAGGCATTGTTGGCAAAATTGACCCCTCGAAAACTAGAGTCCCCTTTCAAGAACTTGTGATTCAATACCCCTGTGTTGCATCGAATTGCTAAAAAACTCCCCGTGTAAATAATATTAGCAAAAAAACCCCTTATAATGCATTTTGTGTTTGCACACAACCCCCAAATAATGAGCTTTTAGGGGGTAGTTTGCTAATAAAATTGAAATCGTTGGAGGGTTTTTGCTAATAAAATAACACGGGGAGTTTTTCTAGCAATTAGAGAATTAAAACACCAGGGTGTTAAATGCAATCAACCCTTTTTCTTGTTTCCGGGATTCCCTCTCGTTTCTTCCTATTTCTGCACGCATGCGTGGAGTTGGATTTACGTCACATTTTTTTGGCAGAATTTTGTGTTGTAAAATAAGTATTACCGACGTATTGTTAGGTTTTTTCGTTGCTTGAATCAGAGAGAGACTATACTAACAATGCATTTAATCTTCATGCGATTCTTGATTCGTGTTAACTACTCGAAAAGATCTTTATTTGCATTGTTGAACATCTAATATTTTTTATTCTATTTTTTCCCCCTCTGAATTTGGTAAGCATCTAAATGTGCAAACGTCGTAGCACGGTAAGATCGGTCGAATTGTGTGGAAGAAACATAAATTGCTTGACTATAAAGGACCACTCTTTAATTTAGTGAAACTCTTTGGGACTCTTTGTAATTTTCAAAAAAAAAAAAACACATTTATTTGAATATATTTATAATTTAGCATGTGCAATATTAAAAGAGGTGTTCTTGTAAATAACGCAATTGGGAAATTAAAGAAATATCAACTAAGTTAGCACTTATAATTTGTGCAAGTAATTAAGCACTTGCCTAACACATCCAAAATAACGCACTTTAGGTAAGTGCATGAGCATGAGAATATAGACTTAGTCAATAAAATAAGTTATTATCCACCTAAAAGTGCTTCATGATTCTGCATCCCTTTGTAAAAGTGCTTAATTTGTATGTTTTATTAATTATTACTATAAAAAAAATGATCATCATATGATTAATGTTAGATTGGCTTTGTTTACAAGGCGGCACGTGATGGATTTTCTAGAAGATTAGACCATAACATTTAATTTAATAAGTTTAAATTTATTATATAAAAATTAATAATTATCTAAGACATTAGTCAACACGTGGAGGTTAAGTAAAGAATTGCTTAATGCATTTCTTCCCTTTTATTTTATTTATTTTCTTTATTTATTTTTGTGTGCTATAAGAGTGACTAGCAATATATATTATATTCTCAAGGCTTTGCTTTGTCTTCTTTCATGTGTGTGGAAAATACTTGGTGCAATCATAAGATCTAGAAAGAAAATGGAAACATCAAAGGGGTAGAATAGTCAATTTACTTGTTACAATGAGAAGGTATCAATTTGTTTCACTAATTTTATTTTGGGAAAAAAAAAATTAAGCTACTAGTGCTCAATTTGAGATCGTCAGTGAAAAAATTGTTTGAGTTCGACTTGAAGCTGGCTCGAACTCGAGTTTGAGCTCGACTATAAAAGAATGGTGAAATATGTACCAAAACTAAAGTTACTCCATCTTGCTTCATGTTCTTCTCGATTAAATTCATTTGAGTTTTCAATAACTTGATAAATATTCAAACAAACTTGAACAAATATTTAAAATTACAAGACATATATGGTAAAAGGTTTTAAGTCGACAAGAATAGTTATATTACAACCACCTCCCTAAAATAAGGTATAATTACAAAAAAAATCATTCTTTTTGAGAAATTACATCCAACCCCTGTACTTTGTAAATCACAAAATGATGAGAATGTAATAAATCTACAAATTGCAAGGAGGTGGATATAGTTATGGAAAAGTGAGAGCGTTCTTTTGTAAATAGACCTTATATCAAGGGTTGATTGTAATTTACCCTAATAGAGTAGATTAATATATAATAAGTTTTAACGGCAACAATTCAAGGGCGGCAATTGGGCCCCAGTTCTAGAACGAAGACTGGCCCACACGATTATGAAACTTCTTTATCCATTTGTTTTTTAAATCTTTATTTCCTGATTTAATTAATAATTAATAATTACCACTAATCTAGAACTAAAGTTTTGGCATTTAAATTTCATAGCCCATAGAGTTCTTTATTTAACTTGACCACTTCAATTTAAAAATCAAATAGTTTATTTTTAATCATCCTTTATATTTGTTGAGGATCCTTAAGAAAACTACATCGTTATGAATCACAAAGTAATTTTAATAGTGTCACGTTTAATTTTCAATTTTTTTTTTAAATACGATCTTATTTATTTATTTACTAAAACATTTAAAATATAATATTACACTCAACAAACTTATCAGCTCAATATTCAAACAGCTTAAATGCTTAATGCATGATGATGCAAATTAACTCATCGTGGGTCTATTTATTATATTCAAACACCTAATTGTGTAACATCAAACTAATGAATCTGCATGAGAGATTATCTAATTAAATACTTATACTTTTGTAGCCATAAACTAATATTTCCTATTTTTTTATTATTATATCATAACCACCTCACGCGGGGAAATTAAATGCTCATACATCTTTTAATATAAAGATGACAATGAAAAGGCATTGGAAAATTTTGAATTAAATATAATACTTTTATTCAATTTTAAAAAACAAAATACATTGTATATGTATTGGATATACAAACAACAACTATCTTCTCCCTTCCACTGGAGATGGGCAACGGTTGGAATAAGTGAGTTTGTTTCAATTGGTTTAAATTTAAATTCTCTTATCAACGGTCGCTAAATCGAGCTTGTCACACATGGTTAACCTAGTGTAGTTTACATCTCTTGTATAATTTATAAGTTATTATACGAAAGTATTTATTTACCCAGTGGACCAGTACACCTATATAGCTGATGGTTTTTCGTTAACAAATAAAAAATAAAAATAAAATATTTTCTCCTTTTTTCTTCTTTATTTATTGTTTATTCATGTATATCTAGAAGAAAGGCAAAAGCCATCAACCAATAGGTCCAATTGCTTTGTGACTAGTATTAGTCAAATATACATCAATCTTTTTCTAAGTCCCAATCTTTGCTTCCCACAAAAAACCCATTTTTGTGTGTATACATATAAATATCCACCAATCACACCCTCCAAAATTAAAGTCCCACTTGAAACTTCATCAATAACACAACTCTTTAATTAGTAGCCAATTTGCCATAATAATAACCACCAAAATGCTAGTTATAGAGCCACATTATTTTGAAGAACATCTTCACTCAAAACACATAATGGAGGACACAAAATCAGATGAAGCATATGAAACACTCTCCTTTAGTGATCTTCCATTGTATGGTGATCAAAGCTTTGAAGAATATTGGGAGGAAGAAGAACAAGATTTGTCAATTGAATCACAAGGGTCTAGCTCCATTTCCTCCTCATCGGAGCACGACGACTATTTCGAGTTCTTCAGCCAAGAACTCCGCTCTTCCGCCGCCACTTTCCCACCGGAAAACATCATCTTCTGCGGAAAGCTTATACCTAGTTATAAACAACCAAACACCTCCCAAGAAGAAGATCCATCACTGGAGAGCATGAAGCAAACGAACATCAAGAAATCGGGCGTGTATAAATGGCTCAACAAACAAGTTGATGCGAAAAGTAGAGTTGTTAAGCGCAAGTATGAAAAAGAATATGATGATTTTCCGGTTCAGAAGATGTCTATACTGACATCTTCTTCATCGGGGAAAGCGAGGTGGTACTTGTTCTTGTTTGGGATTTCGAGATTTTCGACTCGAGTGGAGTTGAGTGATATCAAGATCAGACAGAGGAGCAGCCGCCGCCACGGCTCCGCTGCATCGCCACCATCACCGCCATTTAGATTTCAAAACCACCATCACGAAGGTGGAGGTGGAAACAAAGACTCGGGGCTGTGGGGGCTGATCAAGGTGCTGAGCTGTAGTGGGAACCACCATCCAAACGCTATGGTTGTATCTTCGATAGGCTGCGAGAGGCGTCGTAGATAGATAGATAGATATATAGATACAAATGCATTGTATTGTTCCTCCATTTTACTATCAATGTCATGAATTGTTGTTGCATAGTTTTTATGTTTTTTTTTTCTTCAGATTATTAGACATAAGATTGATGAAATTCATTGGATTTGTTTTGACTGCAGTTTACAACAGTTGATGCCTATAGTTTTTACAATGGCTGCGGCTATATGCAATACTCATTCCACTTGTGCAAGACCAAATTAAAGAAAGATTCCAAAAGATTCTATTTTATTAAGATGGAATGACAAGTATGCCCATAAATTAAATTGGCTTTTTTTTCTCATGTAAGACCAAATACAAATAATGAGAAAAAAACAAAAATCGACACCAAGGTGTCGAAAAACTATGCTACAAATCGACACTTAAGCGTCGAATTTCATAGGTAAAAATCGACATTGACATGTCGAATTTGTAGCACAAATTGAAATGTCGAATATTATACCTCAAAATCGACATCTAAATGTCGAATTTTATACCTCAAAATCGACATCTAAATGTCGATTTTTACCTGTAAAATTCGACCTGTACATGTCAAATTCCTTTGCGCGGGATTTTTTTTGGAAAATCGATATTCTAGCTAAAAAAACTCATAAATGCATACATTCTTGGGTTCTTCCATCGTAGAATCTTCTATTTTGATGTCTTCTGACTCCATACTTGCTATCTTTATAAGATTTGTTGAGTTTTGATGATTTTGAATATCTAGGTTTGTGGGTTAATGGAGGAGGAAGGAGAAATGTCTTGTGAGTTTTGGAAGATGGAGAAGATGATAGTTGGTCTTGTAGTTTTGTGGTCTTGTGATAGGGTTTTTTGTGTTTTTGAATTTTTGGTCTTGCATATTTGGAATTTTTTATTTTTTTAATAAATAAGGGTATTATAGTATTTATACATTGAAAATTTTAATTTGGTCTTGCACAAGTGGAATTAGTCTTGCATATAGCCGCAGCCTTTTACAATTTCTCATCAGTATTGCCTTTGAAAAAGAAATGGAAAAAAAAAAAAAAAGACAGCTAAAGTGTCAAGGTGATTTCTTCTCCCACTTGCACATAATTTTACAAAATTTCTAAATTAGGACTAGAATATTTTTTTGAGAATTGTTCTGTAATTCTCTAGATATTGATTGTACACGTACGATCGATTAGATTTTGACCGTTCATTAGGACATGTCCTCACTATAAATAGGGATCTTGTTCGTTGGTACATACTTGTGCATTTTCGATATTATGTTCATCATCAGCATACTTGGCAACTTAGTATATTGGTGTTGATTGATTCTTGATCATAAGATATCATGAAATATCACAAGATAGGTAATTATCAGTATACTTGGCAATTTAGTATATTGATAATTTAGTATATTGGTGTTGATTGCTTCTTGATCATAAGATATCATGAAATATCATAAGATAGGGCAATTCAGTTTATTGGTGTTGATTGGCTAATGTCTTGTTTTTGAAGTTCTTTTCAACTCTAACAATTCCGTCGCCGT